ATATATATATATACACTTTGTGTTGAATACTTTGACATTAAATTACACAAAAAACTAGTTAACACTGCTTTGGCTGATTCTAATACAACGCCTGAGAAAGTGATGGTAAATTTGACATCTGTCTTTCTTATGTCTGCCATAATCAATCTCTACAAAAATGTGTTCTTCTTTTAGAATATTAAGGATTAATATTAATATTATTATTTAGGATATTAAATTTTGCTATTTGAGCAAAATGAGCATCACTATAGATGTTTACACATCTATATGACAACTTCCGCTTCTGAAAACTATTTTGCTACTGCAAGTTTTTTGTGTTAACACTGCTGTACATGTATGAATGTGTTTCCACACCGTTGTACTCTTTTCTGATGAAGCGCTCCAGACTGCCCAGAATCTGCTCCCTCTTCTGCTGCTCGATGAGAGACGGTGACAACTCACCTACAAACACAAAAAACATCACAACGGAGCCTGAAGTAAATGTAAGGGTAAATGCAAATAAATGCACTCAAGCTGATTGATCGGAATGCGCTGGAGTATTAAAACAGATGCTGGTAAAGCATGGGACGGCGCTCACGGTAGCACAGCATGCAGAGTCCGTCCAGGATTTCTCTGAAGCGCTCGGTCATGGGCGGCAGGGGTTTTAGCTCAATCTTCTTGAAGTCTTCAGGACATTCGTCTTTAAGGTGGCCGTCTCGCTTGCAGATGCTGCACACGACTGTTGGCGGCTGTGAAGAGAAACAACCAGAAGACGCTTAATTTCTGGTTCACAGCACCGGATTATTTAGGCTACCATAATACATGTGATGCACATGTGTGCCATAGTATAGGCTAATCTTTATTAAAAAAAAAAGACTCCAGACGATTGAATTATTGGATTGCATGCCAATTCCACCCTCTCTTAGAATTAGAGAGTCTATCTTTTTCACTGCTGTGCCTTTAAACCTCTTTTATATACTATCGTTCAAAAGTTTGTGGTCAGTACATTTTTTTTCCTTAAAATAACTTATATTTCGCAAGGGTTTATTAAATTGATCAAAAGTGACAGTAAAGACATTTATAATGTTACAACAGATTTCTATTTCAAATAAATGCTGATCTATTTAACTTTCTATTCATCAAGGAACACAAAAAAACAAAATGTATCACTGTTTCCACAAAAATATGAAGCAGAACAACTGTTTTTAACACTGATAATTATAAGAAATGTTTCTTGAGCAGCAAATCAGTATATTAGAATGATTTCTGAAGCATCATGTGACACTGAAGACTGGAGCAATGATGCTGAAAATCACAGCAATAAATTAAATTTTAACATATTCACATAGAAAATAGTTATTTTGAATTGTAACAATATTTCACAATATTACCGCTTTTTCTATATGTTTTTTATCCTGATTTTTTTTTCACTTGGTGAGCATAAAAACAAAGACGCTATAAAAAAAAAAAAGAAAAGAAAACCTAGTGACCCCAAACTTTTAAACTTTTTCCTTCACATGTGAAATAATTTCTTAATTCAGACCAATCCACTACTGAATCGTTCATACCATTTTGAAAGCCGGTTTTGGTCGATTCACTGAAAAAAATTGATTAATTTACATAATTTCGCTAAAAAAATAAAACAAATAAAATGATCGCTGGCCATTTAGTTCACATAAACTACACAAGATCAATATCTACCCGATTTTTGAGCCAAACATAAGTAGAATATAAGTCAAGCACCACAAATATTTACACAGTATCCTGTGCAATTACCTTTCCTCCAGTGAAGATCATCCTGTCAAAGATGTAGTGCATGTCTTCTGGAGCAATACTGTCCTGTTTCTCCATCTCTTGATCTTTATCCTCCTCCTCATCCTCCTCGCTATCCATCAGCAGGCCGTTCAGGGCAGAAGGAGACTCCGCTGTGGAGGGTTCCTGTGAAACAGACTCAGATCTGGTGTCCATCCCAGCGTCGCTCACCAGGAGCTCTGTGAACCCCGCTCTCAGGCTCTCCTCTTCCTCCATATCCCTCTCGTCCTCATCATCACTGCTGTCTGCGTCCTCCTCGCCGCTCTTCTCCGCCTCCGCACGGTTCTTTCGGTCCAGGCTACGGGATCGGGCCGTGCGAGAGCGTCTGGGTTTCTGCCTCAGTAAGCCGCGGCTGGCGTTCGCTCCGTTTCTGCTCTGAGGACAGGCGAAATACTTGTAGGCCGTGCGGAAACGTTCCTGGATGTACTCAAAAACCATCTGACTGTTCAGACTGCGAGCCACGTTCCTCTTCAACGCAAATGGATCTGAAACACACCATTTAGTCGTTTACAAATGCTTTCAAACTGCAGTTGTTGCTCCTTTTCATATGGTCCTTAAACTAACAAACATAAAATTCACTTAAAACAGATTAAATTGTAAAATACTGTGGTTTTTGATATTGTTTATCGGTTGATAATGGAAATTGAATTGTGTTCATTTTTAGATTACCTGTGCAATCATCTCACGCTTATCTTAAGTTAATCAGTACACTTTCACTTTGCAAACATTACATTACATTCCTGACCTAACAATGAACAATACATCTTTAGCATTGATTAATAAAAGTTAATATCACTTACAACATTTACTAATGCATCTTTGAAATCAAAAGTCACATGTTATATAGCTAACAAACGAACAATTATATTTTCTATTAACTAAGTTTAACAATTAATCGCTCAATTAAATATATATATATATATATATATATATATATATAAACATTAATATATAAGTAATATTTTGTACAAGATAATTTAAAAAAACAAATATAATTACTAATTACTAAATTATTTTCTATTAACCATTATATAAAAGTAATTACACAGACTTACTACATAGATATTCTGAATATTATAATATTCTGAATATAAAAAAATTGTTAGAATATTTGATTTTAGTAACATTTTTTGTTAAATTTCAGTATTACTTATATACTATTACAGTGTTTTTTAATAGTTTGAAATAGCTTTCATTTTTATACTGGCAGTCTATTTTATTTTTAGTAATTTTGTGTTTTGTCATTTTCAATAATTTTCAACATTTTAATAACTTTAAAACTTTATTACTTGTTTTTTGTTTTACATGTAACAATTTTTGTTTTATTTTATTTCAATTAATAAATATGATTTGAATCATATTTTTATAATGTTGTCATTCATAAATTCACTTGCTGCATTAAAAAAAAGATTGTTTTTAGAGTTATTAAAAGCTACAGAATTTTTATATCAGCTATTTTTAGCCATAACATTAAAATAACTAAAAGGTGATCAGCCAAAATATTATATTGTTTTGTCTACTACATTGTTTTGGCATTTATTAACAGTGCATCCATAAAGAGGGAAAATAGATAGGTTGAACAACTCTATAAATCTTATTTGCTGAATGAACGCAAAAAATGCTAAACACTTGGATGGAAACCAAATGCTTACACGCTTCAGGAAATTAACCATCAAATGAAGTGTTCACAATGCAACATCAGTGTTAACCACACTGTGGTCTCACCTTCGATGGCGAGTCTGCGGCGAGGCCAGTTCTTCAGCTCCCGCGGCAGCAGCTCTTTCAGACGGATGCTGATGATATGCTCCTCCAGCGCAAACTCCAGCGTGTAAAAGCGCAGGAGCTCCAGCCACAGCTGACCCAGAGACATGCTCACCGGCTGCTTCAGCGTCAGACGAGTCTACAAACACAAATACACACACGTTACTGATAATACTCACCCTAGGGATTCTGTAATCCAGTCATGAGCAGCGGTGAAACGCTCACCTTGCCCTTAGCATATCCACCCTTCTTCTCTTTCTTCTCAGTCTGGGTTTTGGGTTCGTGTTTGGCTTTGCCGTCCCCGCGGCCCTCGCCTGCAGGAGCGGGTCTGTACTCCCAACCCACGAACGAGTCCAACTCCAACCCCGTCAGGTGAAACTCATCCACACGCTTCACGTCGAAGCCCTTGATCTGAGCAGACATGAAACAAAAACACAGTTATTTCAATCTAAAATAGATGTAACAAGCCTTGAACCATGATAATCCTCATGGAGGAACCCATCCTAAAATTTAAAACACTATATGTATACTTGAATAGAAAAATGCTCCATATTTTCATGTTTAAAGGCCAAATTATAAATACACAGAAATAATTATTGTTTCGATATGTTTCATTATTACTTTGCTTTTAGATGTTTTACTTGTTTAAATAACTTTTAATCAATTTGTGCTGTGAAAACTAAATATTATAATAAATATGCAAAATGATTATTTGGAAAATATTGTGTTATTGTAATGTTAATGTTAATGTTATTTTACATTAATTTTCACACTCACTGCAGTACTGTGCTATTAGATGTGCATGTTTATTTAAATTAATTTTTAAAATCAACTTGTACTGCAAAATAAAATTAATATTATATGCATAAAACAGTATTTGGAAAATATTTAGTTTGTTACATCATTACATGTTTTTACTCACTAAAGTACTGTGCTGTTATTGTATTTGATGATGTAAATACATTTTTGCTGTGAATAATGAATATCATAAAAATGTGTAAAATATTACTTGGAAAATATTTAGTTTCTATTGTTTTTCTCTCAGTCACTGTTAGATGCATTTTTTGTTAAATCAATTTATACTGTGAAAAATTATAAATTATTATAAATGTGTAAAAAATTAATTGGAAGACAGTTAGTTTATCTAGCAATTATTGTTTTTCCCCACTCACTGTAGTGCTGTGCTATTAGCTGTATTATTTGTTTATTTAAATTTTTTTTTTATTAAATTATACTGTGAAAAATTATTATTATAAACATGCATAAATTATTATTTGAAAAACACGTAGTCTATATTATGTTGCAATTATTTCAAATCTCTAAAGTACTGTACTGTTAAATGCATTATTTATTTAAATCAATTTATCCTGCAAATAATTATTATTACAAATGTTTTATTTGACACTATTTCACTAAGCTTTTCCACTGACCTTTTGCAGCCCCCAGTTTGAAAACTAACTCAGGGTGCTTTCACACCTGGCCTGTTGTTTCGGAACCTGGCGCGTTTCCCCCCTTAGCTCGGTTCGTTTGGGCATATGTGAACACGGCAATCGCGCCCGGATCCGCGCCAAAACAATCGGTCCGAGATCGCCTGAACGAGGTGGTCTCGGCTCGATTGAAAATGAACTCTGGAGCGGTTCGGTTGTAGTGAGAAAGCAATCCGATCCAACGGACCACTGAACCAGGCTATATCACAATTTATGATGGGTAATTACATAAATTCCGTGAAAAGCATCAGCTTTGTTGTTTTGCTAATACTTCAAAATGAACCTGTGAATGTCTGTGGGTGAGCACGTCTTTGCCATTCAAAAATCAAAGCACACTTTATTTTATAATGCCATCTTATTGCTCTTCTTTGTAGGTGCATTTTAAACATTTTTTCCCGATCAATCCTGGACTCCTGCTCAAAATGATAAATTATTATAACGACAGCTACAAAAAAAAAAACAACAACAATAAGCCCGCGAAGCTGTTGTGGTTCCATCCTGACGGATGACATGAATGACAGCTCAGTGGAATCCGGAAAATAAACTGTGGAACTTTGACCAATGAGAGAACAGTTTACTCGCACGTGACTTGTATTAACAAATTTGGTCCATTTAGAAACTTTGCCGTGTGAAAGCGAACCGCTCCAAGAATAAAAAGCAACATTGTAATAATTTTAATCCGTTTCGGAACAAAGCAATCGATCTACAGGTGTGAAAGCACCCTCAGATTACAGATCTATTTGAGGCTGACTAAAACAGGAGTTCATACCCAGCGTCCTAGATAAACGGGCAGGATGGGCTTGGCTCTCTGTTGCAGGAAGAATATGACCATCAGAGACAGCGAGTAGGACGGGATTCCTCCCTCCGCCTGACAGTCGATGTGGCACAGCTACAGATAAACACACAATCTCGTTAGACCTCGGTGACAAACAGTTACTGTAATGTCTGGAAAACATGATGGCGAGTCATACGTACGTTGGCCCAGTGACGGAAGGCCAGAACCAGAGGCACGAGCCTCGGCTCCAGTCTGGCCAGAGCTGCAAGGTGATTGGTGGTGAGGCACGCGACATCATTTCCTGCGCTCACTTTGCACATTAACCCACTGCAGAGACAACAAACAACTCCTATCAGTTATGACAGGCTATCCCTGATGTCTTCAAATGCTTATTCTTTGTGTGCTGTCACTATTTATTTCTATAAATCAAATCAGTGTTTTATTGCTGACATTAAACCGACCTGGCCACATCTCTGCAGAAAACAACAGGGACTTTGGCATGAAAATCTGACTCCACCTCCGCAAACTCCACTGGAAACAAAAGCGAAACTCCAGTTAATCTGAGCTCTCGAAACTCAAGTCTGGTGCATTTATCAACTTTCAGCTGTTAGAGCTGGTAAACAGTCAAGTGAAGCATATTTATATTACAAATAATACTGAAATGAGTATTGTAGACTCATATAAGCAAAAAAATATTAGCAAATTAAACTTTTGACTACTGGTTTTCTATATTTATATATAGTAATACCCTACATTTCAGTTATTTTTCCCATTATTGTTTTTGTGTTAATGTTTATATATTAATCTTTTATATACAAAATATTAAAATGTACACCATTTTTGAATAATATATTATACTATGTTTTATATATTCAGTAATTTTACTGTTTTACCGCTGTTCTTGAGGATCTCCAGCACCTGGATCAGCACATCAGGCTGAGTCATCTGCACAACAGAGATGTGCAAGACTTTAACAAACACAATAAAACACACAGACACAAATCCAAGCGGCTCATGCACGTTCGTTCAGACTCACAGTGGAAGGATAAGAGACGTCGATGTTGACGTCACTCGTTTTGAAGGCGAAGCGGGTGAGACATGAGCCGTACAGACGGAGAGAACACGCTAAGATGAAACAAGCATTTAGATATTCAGCAGACTGGAAGAAACACTTTCTTGACTTAAGTTTAGTTGACTTAAGTTCACATCAAGTTTACTTAAGTCTAGTGCAAGCTATTACCCAAGCACTGTACCTGTGAGTTGTTTGCATATAATCCCCTCCATCCGGAGCACCACGGCTTGCCTCAGCGCGAAGTCTTCCTCCGAGACGCCGTGCGTCTCTGCCGCCTCCAGCACGACCGAGTCTAGTGCCCTCAACTGGGCCGGAGAGGGAGCCGGCAGCGCTCGCAGCTCATTCTCCTCCTGCTTCTCCTGCAAAGACCCCCATAAACAAGAGGATAAACAATAAAAATAAACAATACAAATGAGTCAAATCCAATACAAAATACCCAATATTTAGCTATAATATCTTTGGTGCTGGTGCTTTAAAGGTGATGAATACAGAACGCTTCTTTCCTGAGAGGGTTCTTTAGCATGCCTGATAAAATTTCCTATAATTTATATCATTTTTAGAACATTAGAGCATTTCAGCAACATTCTGCCAAAATTATATCTTGAGGATTTTAAAGTTTAAAAGTGAAGAATAAGATATAAACATTAATATTGTTTGTTTGCTTGTTTATTTGCCATGTTAGCATCAGGGCTATTTACATGGCAAAAACAAAGTCAGCATCATAATACATATAATGTTTAATTATTAAAACATTTTAACTTAATATTATTATTGTAAACTTGCAGTGTAAAATATAATTTTTATTATATTATCAAATTTTTTTTTTTTTTGCAGTACAATAATAATCATTTATTATTTTTACAGTACAATAATTTATGTAATCGTAAATTATTATTTTTATTATTTATTTGTTATTATTATTCAATTTGGTTGGGTTCAGGGTTATTATAGTTAAATAAACTAATACCATAAAAAACTTTTTAATTACTTGAAATAAAATAAAATATAAAAAGAAAAACATTTACCTTGATGTACTAAATAAACATGACTAAACTGAAATAAAATAATAAAAACTATATAGACATATATATATATATATATAAAAACTAAACCAAAATGTCAAAAGGCAAAAACATACTAAATTACTAAAACTTTAACCAAATCTAAAATGAAAAAAGAAAATATCAAAATAAAAGCTAATTCAAAATATTAATAAATAATAAAAACCTCAATAGCATCTCAATAAAATACTCAAAATACTAAAATAACACTGGCTGGATTCCTAAAATCCCAGTGTGAATGTAATGTGGACTGAGACACTATCACACAAAAAAAAAAAAGGTTTAAATCTACAAAATCAAACACTAACTAAAAGAGATTAAATATTTTATCTATTTATATGCACGTCATGTGACAATTAAACAACATCAGAGAACATGTGAATTTTCAATAAATTACTGAAACATTAACTTAAAATATCAGCGGACACTTCATGTAGATATCGGCTGACAAATGTTTGGCAACAGAAACTAGCATACAAAAACTTCTCCAAGCTTAAAGTCACTGTGGATTTCATAGAGCACAGAAATAAGTGTTGGGAAAATAACAGCCTGCATCCTCACCATGATGTTCTTCTTGTGACGTTTCTCTTTAATGTGCTTGTGAGCACCCTGGATGTTCTCCACGTGGACTGAACACAGTTTGCATAGATACTGGAAATTGGGGTACTCCGGCGACGGCTGTGGAAATACACAACGGCTGAGAAAGCAATCGCAACACGCCATATCTCTTTACACATCCACGCGCTCCACAGACGTGCTGATGGGAGAAATCAAGAGCCGCTCAACGACTCGGATTCAATTAACAAGGCGCTTTTCACCATCATTCAAAAGCAAAATCAGATAGTGCGCATGAAAAAGTGCGGTCACATTTACACTGATACTCAGAACAGTTAGATCAGAGTCTGAGTTACAGCTAAAGTCAAATGAAACTAGTCTGTGAACGTTAAAGCAAATACAAACTATAGGGTGAGACTCATTTAATTGGCACAAAATTCATCCTAAACAGCAGTAAAAGCGTAAAAAAAAACATTGAATATAATTAAAATAGTTGTAAAAAAATTGACAAACAAATGAAGACAGATGAAATCATAAATAGATAAATAAAACAGTAAGTAGATAAAACCATTAAAAATATATTAAATAAAACAATAAATAATCTACAAAACACAGCAGTAAAAATGTAACAAAAAAAAAAATGTAAATATAAAAATAATCCTTAAAAATAAAAAAATACAGATGTAAACAAACAGATAGATAAATAAAACCATAAATTAATTAATAAAACAAACAAACAAATAATGTTTTAATTACAGCAGTAAAATCATAAAAATAAACTTGAATATAAAAAATAATCCTTTAAAATAAAAACGAAATAAAACCATAAAGAAATAAAAATTCAAACAATTAAAATGATAAATAAAACCATAAATAAATTAAATAAAACAAACAAATAAATTCTAAATACAGCAGTAAAAAGTGTAAATAAAAATCCTTGAATATAATTAAAATAGTCCTTTAAAAAATAAAACCATACATAAATCTTTAAATAAACAAACAAACAAATAAAACCATGCACAAAATCACAAATAGCTAAATAAATTAAAATAAACAAACAAACATTTAATTCTCTTTTTTATGTGAAAGTTACCAGCTCTTTGTGTTCATGACAGGAGTTAACTGTACACTGACAGGGAAAGTTATTCTGTCAAACTAGTCTCATGGTAGCACATATAATTAAAAAATATAAAGACTTGTTGCTACACTTTTAAAACATTTCAGTAACACCTGATAAGTAACGCTGAACAATTCAAAATGATCTTCTGTGGTAATCTACATTATCACAAACACTGTCAGATAGAGCTTGTACTGAGGCCACATTCATTTCAAATGAATGCGTTTTGAATCCGTGGACTTGAACCACCAAGCACAACAGCGCTTCCTCAATAAATGTCAAGCTTTTCCATGTATCTGTCTTACCTTGAGCAGCCGGTGGATGTAGTCCCTCTGCAGTCTCTCCTCCGCCTGTTTGAGTCCCAGCTGCTGGTCAGGGGTCAGGTTTCCAACCTCCACGACCTCGGCTCTCTGTCTGCCCGCCTCCACACCTGAGATTTAAAGAAACAGACACCGATAACACAACCAACCATTACTCTTTACAAAAAAGCACCTAAAATACACAAACACACGCATACACATATATAATGAATACATAAAATACTACACACACACACTCACTCTCATATATGTATCACAAATACATCAAATAATTATAATTATGTAGGTTATTAAAATTATTATAAAATAAATATACACAACTGCAGAAATTAAATTATGTTACATAATATTAACTTATCACACTTACAAATATTATTTGGACACAAAAAAAAACATACAATTATGCTATAATTAAATTATAATACAATGTATATTAAACTGATAAACCTGCCAGAGAAAGGCAGAACATAGTAAATCCACCAATACTACCGCAGAGAAAACGCAATCATCTTGTTAAAAGATGATCAACATTTTCTCTTTTCAAACACCTTTAGCTAATTTTAAATATATATTTTGTTAAATAATTGTTTATTAAATTTCAGCATTTTCATGCATGTATCATTTGCCACTATTAAAATATACAGCAACTTTCAAAAGTTTTTTTCTTAAAAAATGTTTAGTTTTATTCAGCAAGGACACATTATATTGATCAAAAATGACAGTAAAGACATTGATAATGGTACAAAAGATTTCTATTGCGAACAAATGCTGCTCTTTTAAACTTTCGATTCATAAAACAATCGTGGTTTCCACAAAAACATTCAGCAGCACAATTGTTTTCAAAATTGATAATAATTAGAAACGTTTCTTGAGGAGCAAATCAGTATATTAGAATGATTTCTGAAGGATCATGTGACACTGAAGACAGGAGTAATGATGCTGAAAATTCAGCTTTGATCACAGGAATAAATTACATTCTACAGTGTTCACATAGAAAATATTTATTTTAAATTGTAATAATATTTCATAATATTTTTAAAAATATTACCGACCCCAAACATCGATCTATCTCAAATTGTCCAGATCTGATCAGATTATCGGAGTGTATTTTCTCACCGGTTATGCTGTCTTTAGCGGTGGTGATGGTGTTGTCGTGTGTTGAGATCTCCAGCCGTGCTGCTCCTCCATCCTTGACCGGTCCACTGTTTCGGACCGGAGTTTTGTTCTCCTGGCTTTGCTGACGGCCCTCACTGGGCTGGGGCTTCCCTTTCCCCCTCTCGCCAGAGTTAGTTCTGCCTGTCAGCCGGCGGGCTTTGCCCTTCCCTGGCTCCTGGGGGCTGCCGGTGCAGGTCCTGCCAGTGCTGGGACCACCTTGGATCTCCTCTTTCACCTTGGGGACGGCGTCCTTGCTTTGGCTCGGGACTTTGGCGCTCTCCCGCTGGGGTTTGGAGGACGACGCCTTGCCCCCGCTCGAGCGGGAAGGTTTGACCACCTTCACGAGGCTTTTGGGGTCCTCCATGCCACTCCACTTCTCTCCGGATGAGAATGAAGAAAAGCCCAAAGGGCTCTGGGTTGAAGGTTTCTGGAGCAGAAACACGACATAATCAGATTGTGGGGATCCAGAAATGTTTGTGCATTGAAGGTTTGATAAATCAGGAGGAATCTGGCAATATTGGGAAGTGAATACTAGCTTAGTACTTCAATGAGTGGCATCTAGCCATGATCTAGGAAATATTATTTATAAAAATTAAATATATTAATTTCATTCTAACTAAATAATATGGAAATATTACATTTAGGCAGGTAAAGAGAGAGATAAATCATTCATACATATAACATATATATATATATAAATATAAAGCTAATTGCGACTTTTTCTGACAATTCTGGATAATTCTTTATTGCATGCAGTGTAGATATGCATATTAAAAACATTTTTTAAATAAACAAATTGTTAAAAATTATAAATTATTATTAGCGCTGTCAAATTATTAATCGCAATTAATCGCATCCAAAATAAGTTTGTTTATAAAATATATGTGTACTGTGTACATTTATTATGTACATAATACACATACATGCATGTATACATTTAAGAAAACCATGTTATGTTTATATATTAAATATACTTATAAGTTATATGAATATAAATATATACATAAATATTTTCAAAATATATACTGTATGTATTTATATATACATAATAAATATACACAATACAAACACATATATTATGTAAACAAAAACTTTTATTTTGGATGCGATTAATCGCAATTAATCGTTTGACAGCACTAATCTAAAGATATAGCTACAAATAGCTAATTGTTATTTTTATTACATTAAGTGGATGTATTCACTAATATTATGCAAATTAAACAACATTTATAAAATGAGTTTTAAAATGTTCAAAATGCAAAGTTATTATTATTATTATTATTATTATTATTATATACAGAAGTTAGGGCTGTGCAAAAAATCGAATGCGATTTTCATGCGCATCTCGTCAGTAAAGCCGCTCCTGTGATTTATCCAATGAATCGCCTGCGATTTTGAACACGATTTTGTGTAGCTTGTAGGGCTGCACGATAAATCGCATGCGATATTTAATACGCATCT